ATGTGTCTCTACCTATATATTTAGAATAAAGTGTTGTTCTGGAAACAATCCACACCTTTCCTGGTTTGTCAAGTCTCACATTCCTCCTAACCCTTAAGAAGCGCTCTTTATACTCTCCCTCAAACCATTGCTTTTAGACACCTCCCCTCCTGCCCCCTTGGTAAAACACTGGATATTTCCTGGAGCAACACTACTTTGTAAGAAAAACAATAGCTCTGAGGATTTCATGTTAAAAATATGCATATGTTGTGGTTCAATTTTATGCTTGGTTAAAATTTTAATTTCCTTTGTTCTAAACTCATTATCATAGTACATTAACATACCCCTAAACAAAGGAAACTAAAATTTAAACAAAGGATAAAATTGAACCACAACACATACAATAAATTACATATGCATACATGAAAAAGCAATTGTACTGTTAGAATGAAAGGCGAATTTTTTTCCATACATTAGGTCTTATAATCTTAAAAATTCCTTGCTATATAAATAAATACTTTTTTGTTGTTACCTTAAATAATCTTCAAAGCAATCTTAATGACTATGAATCAGATCTTTAAATTTCATAGCTTGCTTCAAAATTCATAGCTTGCTGCCATGTGAGAGATGACTAACAATAATTTGAAAAGCAAAAAAACTGCCTTAACAATAAAAAATCATGACAAATTATTGGGGGATACGGTTGATAAAAGTCTACCTGTCTATAAATTATTCTTGGATAAATTAAGTTAAATCCATGGTGATTAAAAAACTAAGATGCCAACTAAAGTTGTTATTTGATTTATGTAAATTAAATAATATTATTTAAACTTATAGACTTGTTTGTCTCCATGCTAATTACCTGTGATAATGGTGGATCATATGATATTCTCGAAAGGAGTTTTGATCTTGAGTGGTTATTTTTTTAGCCTACGATGCAGATGTTTTTGGGCTTGTCAATATTAATTCTTTGAATGCCATTTTAGGATGCTATCTATTAGTAAAAAATTAATAGTCAATGAAAATGATGCAAGCCTGAATGTGACCAGTTTGTGAAAGAAATTACTAACAATTCTATTGAGACTCAGGTCTGAAAAGAATGAGGCAACAAAGCAACAGTTTAATGGGATGAGGTTTGTTGCAGAGAAATCTACAGGAAGGCATTTGGGGAGCTATTTGAATAAAGCAGGGGAAGAAGCGCTCTTTATACTCTCCCTCAAACCATTGCTTTTAGACACCTCCCCTCCTGCCCCCTTGGTAAAACACTGGATATTTCCTGGAGCAACACTACTTTGTAAGAAAAACAATAGCTCTGAGGATTTCACGTTAAAAATATGCATATGTTGTGGTTCAATTTTATGCTTGGTTAAAATTTTAATTTCCTTTGTTTTAAACTCATTATCATAGTACATTAACATACCCCTAAACAAAGGAAACTAAAATTTAAACAAAGGATAAAATTGAACCACAACACATACAATAAATTACATATGCACACATGAAGAAGCAATTGTACTGTTGGAATGAAAGGCGAATATTTTTCCATACATTAGGTCTTATAATCTTAAAAATTCCTCGCTATATAAATAAATACTTTTTTGTTGTTACCTTAAATAATCTTCGAAGCAATCTTAATGACTATGAATCAGATCTTTAAATTTCATAGCTTGCTTCAAAATTCATAGCTTGCTGCCATGTGAGAGATGACTAACAATAATTTGAAAAGCAAAAAAACTGCCTTAACTATAAAAAATCATGACAAATTATTGGGGGATACGGTTGATAAAAGTCTACCTGTATATAAATTATTCTTGGATAAATTAAGTTAAATCAATGGTGATTAAAAAACTAAGATGCCAACTAAAGTTGTTATTTGATTTATGTAAATTAAATAATATTAATATTAAACTAATAGACTTGTTTGTCTCCATGCTAATTACCTGTGATAATGGTGGATCATATGATATTCTCGAAAGGAGTTTTGATCTTGAGTGGTTATTTTTTTAGCCTCCGATGCAGATGTTTTTGGGCTTGTCAATATTAATTCTTTGAATGCCATTTTAGGATGCTATCTATTAGTAAAAAATTAATGGTCAATGAAAATGATGCAAGCCTGAATGTGACCAGTTTGTGAAAGAAACTACTAACAATTCTATTGAGACTCAGGTCTGAAAAGAATGAGGCAACAAAGCAACAGTTTAATGGGATGAGGTTTGTTGCAGAGAAATCTACAGGAAGGCATTTGGGGAGCTATTTGAATAAAGCAGGGGCGGATCTAGGGGGAGGGTGCAGGGGGTGCACACCCCCCCCCCCCAAGATAACCTGCGGTTTTCTAATACAACTGGTATTCTGCAAAAAAAAAACTATGTGGTTTATTGGTGTTGAAGCAGAGCAAGAGACGAGTGCACCCCTTCCTAAAAAAAATCCTGGATCCGCCCCTGTAAAGAATGCTCATCCTTTTGGAACAGATACCCTGATTAGGGTCTGTTTGGCCTTTCATGGCCACATTTTTAGGATCTGCGAGTGCATGAGCTGTAGGTTATTTTCTTGCACAGTCCTCATCAAAAGCAACAGGAACAACAAAACAATATCAGCAAAGCCTGCATAAGGTCTGATTTTTGACAACAAAATGTCATGCCATTAGAAACGAATTCAGTTGCACAGCACCCAACAATGAATTATCTTAAAACTAATCTAATTGGGAGATTTTGGAGTATGTGTGACTTTTCCAGAAAGCAAGACAAATCAGTTGTCAACTTGTGAGAGCGTCTATATAAGTCGATCGTCATCTTGTGAGACTTGGCAAGTCTGTGCCTGGTTTGTCTCACCTGAACACTTTTTCTCCCCTTTTCACACAAAATAGGCAAAGAAAGAGACTGCTCACAGTATGCCATGCCTCAAAATTATATAAATTATGTTAAAATTGACCAACTAAATGCACACTTTAAAAAACAATTACTGGTATGCTATGGTTCACCGGCTGTACATAAAAGCTGCTAATGTTCCAAGTCCAAGTGTTGTAAGAAAAACACCTCTCCACCAGGCGCTATCTTGTCCTTTGTCATTAAAATGTTTATCGAGACCTTCCTGAAAAAAAAAAAACAAAGCACCATTAATAGTACTGTTGTTTTGTTACTGTGAAGGCTCTTATCAATAGATTTATAAGGAAATATTTTCCCCTATCCACACAACTATTTATATACCCGCCAACATTTCGTGAGACTGTCAAATGAGTGTGATTTTCATACCCATTATTAACTAAAATTTTCAGAAAAATCTGGAAAAATCGTTTTCGTGGTTGTTGCTTAAGCTTCCTATTGTCACTCAGAGAGTACTTTCTCGCACCAATAAAAATGCTAATTACATAGACTATGCAAGTGAGGATTGAAATTTTGTTGTGGCTCGATGGCACCTTTAATAATAAAGCATACATTTGTAGCATTTCTTTCAAATAGCTCAAATGTCAACTGTTAACTGCACTGGCCCCTGAGGGCAAAGTTCTTTTCTTAGATTTTATCAAACAAAAATGAAACTTTGTAGAAAGTGACCAAATCTTTGGCATTTTGGTCAAACCCCAAAATCTTGCCCATATGCCATCCCCATTGAATATAGTATACAGTTATAGGTACATGTATATGGGAAATGACTAACTAAGGACAACCATTCTTATAGGTGAAATGCAATCAATGCAAAGTACCCTAAACTCTTAACTCTAAACATACTGCTTTTTCAGACACAAGTTTACCCTTCAATGTTCGTAAAACATAATCAAAATTTCCCACCAAGCAAGACCAATGACTTTAGAACCAAAATGTTGTGTTGTGCCCATAGACACCTTGTCCCATTTATGACATCATTTGTGGTTTTCTAGTACATACCCTTTCAAAGCTAACATAAGAGGAAAAAACGTGACAAAACAAGTCCCGATTAAAGGGAGTACATAAGTCTCATGACTGAGGTTTAATACCCGTCCCGGAACTAAAGGGAATGCTTCTGGCACAGTTATTTGCTTTTTTAGCGATTTTCATATTGAAAGCCCCCCAAAAATCCGCAAATTACGCTGGTAAACGTAATCGGTTAATCCCCTGTTGATTCGCCGACTCTGGATTTTGTACACAAATTGTACAATGTTGTACAAAATGCGACGCGAGCTAGATTTTTAATATTACGCCAAGCACAGTTTGGTAATAATCCTTGGGTTTTTTTCCCCAAAAGGGTGCTCTAGAATAAGGCTGTCGTGTTACTAAACTCTAAAACTGGTAATATTCCGCCCACGAACTTGGACAATGCAAAAATTCCAAAAATGTGCTCATCAAACAAATATATTCATGTCCATTGTACTTCTTGATGTTTGTAAGATTCCTTTTTTATCTCTTCAGCTAATTACGTCTGGTCTTGGAAAAGTTTTTGCCCCTCTAACCAATGACAAGAACCAAACGCTTTCATTATTTATAAATACCAAGCAGCTGAAGGCATCACAAAGGATTCAAGCTTTCCCGTTGATTTAAAACGCGAGAACATTTAATTATTGCGAACCTCGTAACCTGGGTTTCGGAAAAATACACACGGTATTTCTGTTGATGACTTTTGCCCCTAGTTTAAATTTACAAATTTAGATGAGTTAGGAAACCCCAATTTAAAAAGAAAAAATACTACTTACCCATCCGCCATTGCTTTCAATCCATTCACTAAGTCCGCCTACGTATTTTCCTACCCATTCAGTGACCGAAGCAACGAGATCTGTCATTTGGTTCTGATCGCAATACAAAGCCAGTTTTCCCCCAAAAGCAAATAGCGCTACAATTCTTCCCCAGTTTATTCCATCCACGAATACTTCGCTTGCAATTTCAACAAATGTTGGATACGCTGTAGTTCTCGTAATGTTCAGTTTACGGCATAAATGGCTTAACAGTGATGGGTACTGCTCCTCGATTTGGTCGGCAAGTTTGCGAAGTGTTGCAGCGGTATTTGACGTGGGTAAAGGGCCTTTTCCGAGCCTATAGGAAATAAAATCTTTAGCAAGGACTAAACCTTGTTGAGCTGTCGGCGAAACTTCAGCTCTCGCCAGCGCGTGTCGACTTTCCATGAGGATTTTTACGTATTTTCAGAAGCATTCATCGGATCAGGCCACACGTAAGATTCACTTATGTCTGCGAGCTACGTAGCCTTCACTCTCTTCGTTCATAAGTCTTCCTTTCGCCCATCTGCCTACAAAGAAACTTTTGTCGTCAGAAAATGAAACACTAAATTGTAGTGTTCGAAAGTGCAAGAGAGTGAGAAACTTCGACGCTCTCAAAAGTAAACAAATCGAACCAACCTTCCGCCATCTCCGCAATCCGAAAAGCCAAAAGGAACTCGGAAAATTGGTGAATATTTATAACCCTGTCAAGAGAATTTAAACACATGACTCTTTGCTGATTGGTCCAAACAAACTAGCATGGGCACAATGTGGTTCCTTTATTGGGACAATACTGCCACCTGCAAGTCATTACCTTCCCGCGAAAATTACGTAATCAACACGCGTGCGGAATGTGCTCCAGGAATAAAACAAATGTTCACATGCTCTCTCTCACATGTCTAATCAGATCCCCGTTTTCTGGCCTTTCGATTGGTTGAAATATTTGCTGCGTCAAGTCTAAATTTAACCACATATTTGGCGAAAAATTTTTTGTCGAGCAGTACAGAGCCACTTTGTTTGTTTCCATTTATTTAGCGACAACCATCGAGGTGGGCAAGAACTTCAACAACTAAACTTTGATTTCTACTTTTCTCAGCGCAACGTATTATTTGCCCGTAGCCCAGAGAGCCAGCAACCCTTTCAAGGAAAGATACGCAAGTTGTGTGCAATATTCTCGAGGATTTCGTTGTTGGATCGGTGTTGTGTTTTCATTGAACAGACGTGGTTTGCCGCTATCAACCGGCCGGCTGATCGAGTGGGAAGCGACATTTAGTTCGACAACAATCACCCCTTTGAGATAGTTTTCAACAGCTGAGACGAATATTTTGATTTGGTTGGAGTGAACCGAAAACCGTATAAAACAAGAAACAAAAAATCAAGTGAAACAAAGTCTTCAAAAACATTTGATTTCAAATCGAGGAGAAAACAATCTATTGATTGTCTTGAAGTAAGTAGACTTGATTATGGAGTCCCAACTAAGCAGAATTAAAGGACAGAATGAAGAAACAGTCACAGAGAACTTTTCAAGAAGCGAAAATGATCCAAATGTACGATCAGGAGACCATGTGGACAACGGCCAGCAAGCTGTGACGCAGTTGAATTTTGAGGAGGTTTTGCTAAACAATAACAATGTTACTCCACGTCAGGTCGGCCAGATTTTGCGATGTCTCGGCGATGAGATAAACGACTTTTTCAAAGTTCCTGTGAGGAGCAGTAAAAATGGATGAACTGTCGATGATTAGCGGAAAGAAAAGAGGAAAGAAAAGTTGTCAAGGCTCGATTCAACGCACCCGTTGGAGGGTAAACTTAAATGTAGTTGGGGTTTGGTGAAACCTTAACAGACCAAGTTCATTGCAACTTTAGCTTCGATTTATTGCTTTTTTTCTAGTTTTCCATCAAGAAACGTGTTTGGATTGTTATACAATTTACATTCACGTGCCCTTGGGATGCGATCTGCCAAGGCGACGGTCGGTTGTCAAACCACGATTGGCTCGTGCAGCAAGAATCATAAATTTGCTTTGTTATTGACAGAGGGAGTTGAAAGTGCTCCTTAAAAAATCCCTATGGGATGATTTTTCTACAGCAGTTTTATGCCGAAATCTTTTATGATTTAAATCCAGTTGTATGTTGTAGTATTAGTTGCAAGGTTACTAATTAAAAGCAATCGGTTCGGCAATTATGTGTATATATGTATAAAAGTTTAGAGAGAGCGGGTAGATGCCGTTCCGTGTACATTTGTAAATGCTGATTGCAGAATATGTAGATAAATCTTAAGGCTTGCTATTGTAAAGATAAAGAGCTGTAAAGATTTGTTAAGTTATTGTAAAACGCAACATGTATAAAGCTTTAAAAGATTATATTTATCAGCCGGAAATTGAGCGTGTGTCATTCGTGCGTACGTGTTTTGTTTTTGCGTAATTGCGTGACCACCTGTACTCAGTTTCGAACCAGTCGTTTTTTATAAATCAACAATAAAACCACACAGTAATTCCATGCTTCTAGTCCATGGGTGTTAAATCGAGGTGAAGTCTCGTTTTTTACCCTGCAGAGAGGGGTGCGCAGGAAAAAGAAAAATTATGAATTTTGTTTTGTTTGAAACCCCGATTTGTGTACTTTTCGATACCTTTGTTCTTTTGTTGTGTTATGTACATTCAGTTTGACCCGTGAGTCTTTCTGCGCTTAAGCTGTGCATATTAATTTTATTTCTTTCTAAACCCTTTTGTTTTCATTTAGGTTTCGATTTTGAAAGTGAAAGACTTTGCAAAAAGATAGACACATGAAAGTGAAACACGCTCCAAAACCAATGGGTTTTTTTGCGTCCAAATTAGACTGGCGTGATCGTACTGCTGGATCACCTGACACAGGCAGGGTCAATGTCAATGAACCTGGTTTCATGATCATGAACCTTCCAGCCTATAAGTAAAGAAGTTGGAAATTTAGGGTGATTCCCTCCCTCAAATCTTAATGGGGCCCGTAGTCAGTGGGCAAGTAGAAGGGTTTTCGAATTCGTTGGATCTATTTTCCATAGTCACACGCTGAATATTTGGTACCCGCATGGAGTTATCCTGGTAAAGACTAAGGAGGGGAGGGAGGGGCATAGCTGGCTTTCAACTGGGAGGTGGTAGAAACACCAGTTCCTCCAGGCAGGGGCCTTTGGGTCTTAAGGCTTATTTCGAAGCACGCCGGATTAAGATTTGAATACATTTTCTGAATCTGTCACAAAAGATACCAGCATACTTGGAAGTGATAGGGTGGTGAACTTGGAAGTGACCTTCATGGTACCCCTAGCTCCGAAAAAAAACGTACTCAAACAAATAGACCACGAAAGTACCAAAAAAAAATTATTGTATTTAAAGAGAAAAATGGTGGCATAAACATACCGCAGTTTTGTCTTTTGATGGAAGAGCCGCTGGACACAGGTCCTCAACCGGGAACATTATGAGTCATACGATCAAGACCGATCAAGCTTGTTCTGGCAGGAACCGGAATTAGTTCCACTGGAAAAAACCTGCCTTTGGCTAACTTCCAATTCAATAAATAATGAAAAAAGCAGGTCTTTGTTCTATAGTTAGGACTGTTATCTCAAGTAAAGTGCATAAAAAACAGCCTTGTGCTCAAAAGGGCCAAGGTACAGGGGCACCCAGCGGGAATTAGTTCAAAACCACTTAAACATAGCATTGTTAAACGTATTTTAGTCTTAAAACGGTAGATATAGGCATATTTTTATCCCCTAAAAATTTTTCATCTGTTCGGATTTCCTAGCTGAAAGTCTGGTGATCCGAAAATTATAGGGATCAAAACTTACCTTTTCGAAAATTCCAGTCAGAAAAAAGGCTCCCGAAAATTCTAGGTGACCTTTTTAGGGTAAAAATCCGTTAAAAAGAGGCAGTTATACCATTTTTTAGATGTTCGAAAATCCTAGGAGAGGCAAGCAAGCAAGAAATTTTACAACAAATGTTCCGAAAATTCTAGATCTCAAATCTTCTTCCGAACAGATATTCAGCTTTTCAACAGCTGGGCCAGAAAGGTAATTATTACCAAGAGTAACAGCACAGTAGCGGATGCAATATTTTGATTGGGACGGAGGTCTCACCTCGGATACTTCCTGCAGATTCAGTTGAACCCTACCTTAAAACCACCCCGCTTAGAAGACGACCTCGTTACTTAAAACCGGTCGGGTTCCACTGTAGAAAGTTCTTATCAATCATAAAGAAAGGATATCAGGAGTACAAACTAGGGAGATCCACTCCCCAAAGGGGATCTCCCTCCTCTTGCCCACCCCACCCGTTCTCTTTCCTTCATTTTGTCCTCTATCCTCCCATGGCTTCAGCCTCGTCCCTAGGCGAGCTCGCGCTATTCGAGTGCGCAGAGGAGCTTGGAACCGAGCGCGATAGCGCGAGAGCATTGACAGGTGATCGAAATTGTGATCGAAATCACATCCGAAATCGCCGAGGATGACTAGGAACGAGTCTGCTATGGCCCTATAGTGGCCCTATATCACATCATTTTTTCATTGTACACTCTGGTTAATTGCAAGGTATTTTGGAATATATAAGGGACTGGTCAAAAAGTATAGGTGGGGGTGGGCCGGAGCAGAGAAGGGGTGGGTCATAAGGTTTTAACCTTGCGCAAGGGGTGTGTCGTGCAATTTTCAGCTACCCTTAAGGGGTGGGTCACCTTATTTTATTACATAGATAGGCACTAACTACTAACGAGACAGTTGACCACACTTGTTATATAAAACACAGCCAGCTGGAATTATTGCTAAAATACTCACAAACCTGTTGTGCGAGAAAATGCAAAGGGTGACAGGCTGCACATCTATACGGGCATGAAACCCTTAGTTGACCTTTTTTTGTTTGGCTCTAACAAGCATGTCCTTTAATGATTTTCCTTTTTTGTAAGGTTTACTATTAAAGTTTGTGGGTAGCCTCTGTCCATCAAGCGTTTTTTTTTTTTAATTTTAAATTATTTTCCTCAAAGGTTGTTTTTGAGGATTTTTTTCGTAGGATTCTCAAGGCTTCTCCTTTTTAACACTTGGAGGGTGACACGAGGTGAAATGAGCGTGCAAGAAGGTTTCCATTTGTTTAAAATGTGTCTTTGCATCAAGGATAGATTTTTCCTTGACTCTTGTGCCCTTGTATACAGCCGTGTCTAAAAACGCAGTCTCAGTGTCAAATGTTTCGGCCGTGAATTTAATAGTTGGGTGATGTAAGTTTGCTTGTTCAATGAAGGCTTCAGTGTCTGGTTTACTCATGTCCCGTAGGGAAAAGGTATTGTGTATGTAGGATTTCCACAAACTGTTGTTCAAAAGATGGTTTTGCTTAGAGTTGTTGTTTCAATATACGCCTTGAAAATGTTGGCAAAGGAATCAAAACTGCTGTCTTTGTGCCCACTGCAGTTCCATGGTTTTGTGGGTAGTACTTTCCATTGAAGTGAAGAAATTTTCTTTGAGCACTATTCTAAGCATTTCCGGCAAGTAATGTTAAGGAATGGGTTGTCTTTGTAGAAATTTTCATATGCTTTGTGACAGACAATTTCAATATACCCTCGTTTTGCGGTATATTTGTGTCAAGACTCATAACGTCCATCGAAACAAGAAATGTTCGGATTTTCACATTTGTCTTTTCAGTGAAAGGTATCATGTCTGTGATTTTGATATTAGTTGTAGCATTGTATCAACAAATTTTGCAAAACACAGAACAAGGTTTTATTGGATTATTAAGAGGAAACCAAACATTCGTGTTTTAACAAGGGGGTGGGTCATGGAATTTCCAGCCTCGCTTTAGGGGTGGGTCAGTCATTTTTGTGCCGAAGGGAGGGGGTAGGCTATGTGTTTTTTACCAACCACAATTCCAAATGCTCCGACCCACCCCGCCCCCCCCCCCCCCATACTTTTTGACCAGTCCCTAACTTCACCAAGGCTGGTTGGCGTTGGGTGCATAGGTCCGCAATAGGTGGAAGCCATGGATAACGTAATTCGCCAGCTGTAGTCACATGCATTCGCTCAAGTGCCTATTTTAACGTGACAAGGAGTTCAACGTGACAAGAAGTTCACACGACGTACACAGCTGTACAAAATAAAGAATTAATTTATTTCGCGTTTTACATGAAGTATCGCCAAGCGATTTATTAACAATGATGACACAGGCCTTTATTTTAGCAGGTTGCTCTAGAGCGGTTTTACTCGCCCCGTATTATTAAAACTATATCTTTTAGTTATATTTATTTCAGCTCAAGTATTTTAATATATGGATGCTCCGATAATTTTTTTTAATAACAAACAGTGATTACCTTTGAATCATTATTAACGCTTCCCTTGAAGGGCGCAAAGTTTCTCACTAATAATTGTAATTAATTATTCCATGAATGAAAGTAGAAGATAGTCAATTTAATTATAAATTAGGTTGTTTTGGAAATTTTTATTAGCTTCACCATTAAAAAAAGTCTTTGGCCTCGAGAAATGTTCGCACGCCGCGGTGCTTATTCGAGTCAATGAGCTCATAACGTTAAGTCGCCTTTTGGAGTTACTAGTGTAAACCCATTATCTGAACAAGCACTACGCACTGGTCACAGGGTATAAATATAACGAAGAACGAGAGCTGATGACAGGCGACGAGGTTAGAGTAGAACTGACAAGGGAAGACAACAGTAACCTAAAAAGTTGCAAGCACTACGAACAGGAATCAGGGTATAACATTAGAGGTCAACTACAGCTTACAACAGATAAACGAGGACTGACGAGGAAAGATGACGATGGTAATTCGGTTATCCGGAGAATTGCCGAGCGTTGCCGAGGGTTGTTGAGCGTTTAAGAGGATAGTCGAAAGGTAAAGCGACTTGCTCAGGGTTGTGGTTTGGATTTGAAGTTGACGTGAAGTTATAGTTGACGAGCTAAGATGACGAGATCAAGCGAGCCGACTTGAGGATTTACCTGGATCCACGATAAGGTCTCCAGAGTTGTAAAGTTTGCCGGACATAGATTGCAGCAATTTCATTTTCAAAGAGGCCTTTCTCACAGCAGTAGTAATTCGGGACACAGCATTACCAAGTA